CCCCCAGAGTCGGACTCGACTGGACTTAATGTCAGGGGACAACCTTTACCTTTTACCTGCTTTGAACTGCTTTATATGGCAGTGTAGATGGGCCCAGGCTGACTCTAACCTCTTTCCAAATTGCCAAGCATTGCAAAGGGAACAGTGGCCATCCGGATAGCAAAAGCACAATGCCAATGTGTTCCTGTGGTGAGGAAATAGAGCGGCAGCTGCCGAAACCGCAAGCGGGTCTTGGCATTTCCTGCATTTGGACATTTGTGGGAGAAACAGGAAGCTTTCTTGTTGCCAGTTTGATTTTCAGGTCGATCGGCGATTTCATCCCCTCGGAGAGTGTTCCTTGCATTGGCATTCTGTGGCAAAATTACTTTTCTGGATCATTGAAACTTTCCCATTGTGTTGTGTACATTCGGGCCCAACAAGTGACCATCTGAATGTCAGGAGAGAATGCCTCTAGAACATGGCCATATAGCCCGAAAAAACCTACAACAACCCAGTATTAAAACACTCTAATATCAGGACAGTAAATAAAGACTCAGAAAATGGGAATTCCAGACAAGAAACAATCAGGGCCAACTAACACCTCCAAACAAGGAATTCCCCCAGGAAGGAAGTAGCCAGGCTTTGAAGCTGCAAAGCTATTCAGTGCTAATTACTCTGACCAATTGCAACATTCACAAACAAGAGTTCTTTCTCCTACCTTGGACACTCTAAAGGTAAAGGTAGTCCCCTGACATTAAGTCCAGTCATTTCTGACTCTGGGGTGTGGTGCTCATCTCCATTTCTAAGCCGAAGAGCCAGTGTTGTCCGTAGACACCTCCAAGGTCATGTGGCCGGCATGACTGCATGGAGCGCCGTTACCTTCCCGCCGGAGCGGTACCTATTGATCTACTCACATTTGCATGTTTTCGAACTGCTAGGTTGGCAGAAGCTAGGGCTGACAGCGGAAGCTCACGCCGCTCCCCGGAACACTCTACAGGTATTTAAACCTCACTTGCCTAGTTTCCATCAGACCTCATAACCTCTGAGGATGCCTGCCATAGATGTGGGTGAAACGTCAGGGGAGAATGCTTCTGGAACATGGCCTGGGAAAACTTACAGCAACCCTCCTGTAATAATAATCTCTTCTTGGAAGAGGATTGTTTGCATCTGATCTGGCGGTGAAGGGCTAGGTTTGTGTTGTTTACACATTTTATTTCTTTGGAGACCCAAAACAAAAAGTGATGAGGGAGGTCTGCTCCAAGTCCCAGTGTGGTTGTACATTTGGTGTGTTGTGTAGGAGGAGGAGGAGGAGGAGGAGGAGATGGGTTGGCAAATAAAACCGAGGTGACCAGATTACCTGGAGCCGTGTCTTGAAAAACGAGCCTTCCCCCTGGAACTTCGCATTTCCCTGGAATGTAAAAGATTAACCGCAGGGTTGCACAATCCCTGTCCGCAAGGGCTGCGGTCGGAGATTTGGAGAGCGTCTCCTTGCCCTTTCCAAAGGGCTGTTAAGAGACCTTGTAGGAGGCGGGAGAGTTGCAAGAGAGAATAAAGGCATTGTTGAAAGCCTGGGCCCAAACTCCCCGCCCCGAAACGCGGATCTCATCCCATGGACTCAAGCCAGGGCTTGTTGTGAGAGTGAGGAGCACAGTGGTTGTCGACTAGGAGTGGAAGGAAAGAAGGACGGCACGTCAGACCAAAACATAACACTATGCTCAGCCATAGCAGAGCACCTGATGAACCAACCTGGACACAGCATATTATTGGAGAACACAGAAATGCTGGACCACTCTCACAACCACCATGTCAGGCTACACAGAGAAGCCACTGAAATCCACAAGCATGTGGACAATTGCAACAGAAAGGAGGAAACCATGAAAATGAACAAAATCTGGCTACCGGTATTAAAAAAACTCTAAAATTACAACAGAGAGTAAACAATCAGGCACATCTAATCACCTCTCAACAAAAGATTGCCCCAGGCACTGCTAGGCCATCAAATGCTAATCAAGGTGGTCAGTTGAAACAGGCACACCTAGCTCCAACAGACAAGAGTTCTTTGTCCCACCCTGGCCATTCCACAGATATATAAACCCATTTTCCTTAGTTCCAACAGACCTCACTACCTCTGAGGATGCTTGCCATAGATGCAGGCGAAACATCAGGAGATAATGCCTCTAGAACATGGCCCTATAGCCCGAAAAAACCTACAACAACCCTATGCAACATGGTTTTTGTTCCCAGGTTCTAAAAGTCATTTCCTAATTGGTTCTGTCATGGGACCCACGGGCCAAACAAATAAATAGATTTAAAACCAGAACTTGCTGAAAATCCACCACCTGGTTTTGAAAAATGAACATTTCATAGTCCACCTTGGTAAGGGAAAGGTTGACATTAAGTCTAGTTGTGTCTGACTCTTGGGGTTGGTGCTGATCTCCATTTCTAAGCCGAAGAGCCGGCGCTGTCCATAGACACCTCCTAGGTTATGTGGCCAGCATGACTGCCTGGAGCGCTGTTACCTTCCCGCAGAAGCGGTACCTATTGATCTACTCACACTTGCATGTTTTCGAACTGCTAGGTTGGCAGAAGCTGGGGCTAACAGCGGGAGCAGAAGCGGTACCTATTGATCTACTCACACTTGTATGTTTTCGAACTGCTAGGTTGGCAGAAGCTGGGGCTAACAGCGGGAGCAGAAGCAGTACCTATTGATCTGTTCACACATGCATGTTTTCGAACTGCTAGGTTGGCAGAAGCTGGGGCTAACAGCGGGAGCAGAAGCGGTACCTATTGATCTACTCACACTTGTATGTTTTCGAACTGCTAGGTTGGCAGAAGCTGGGGCTAACAGCAGGAATTCACCCACTCCCCGGATTCAAACCGCCAACCTTTTGGTCAGCAAGTTCAACAGTTAAGCGGTTTAATCCGCTGCACCACCAGGAGGCAAATAAAATAAATAGATGTAAAACCAGAACTTGCTGAAAATCCACCTCCTGGCTTTGAAAAATGAGCATTTCAAAGTCCATCCATAGAGTATTACCTTCATAAGGTAAAAGTTTCCCCTTGATATTAAATCTAGTTGTGTCTGACTCCTGGGGTTGGTGCTGATCTCAATTTCTAAGCCGAAGAGCCAGTGCTGTCCATAGACACCTCCTAGGTTATGTGGCCAGCATGACTGCATGGAGCGCCGTTACCTTCCCGCAGAAGCGATACCTATTGATTTACTCACATTTGCATGTTTTCGAACTGCTAGGTTGGCAGAAGCTGGGGCTAACAGCGGGAGCTCACCCACTCCCCAGATTCGAACCGCCAATCATATGCCCAAATATGAACAGAGATGGAGTTTGGAGGAAATAGACCTTGACATTTGGGATTTGTAGTTACTGGGATTTATAGTTCACTACAATTAAAGAGCATTCTGAAACCCACAAACGACAGAAATGGGGCAAACTTCCCACACAGAACCCCCATGACCAACAGAAAATACTTAAGGCCATCCAGTCCAACTCTCTTCACCAGGGCAAGAAAATGTCATCAGAGCCCTCCTGACAAAGAGCCATCCAGTCATAAGATAGATAGATATGATTCTCTCTCTCTCACACACAGATATAGTATCATAGATTTGAAAGAGACCCTTAAAGAAGGACTATGATATATTGCATATTCCAGAGTAGGCAAACCAGACACTCTCCACATCAACACTGACAAAGAAACAACAAGAAATACTGTTTACTCACAAGCAAAGGAATTACATATATTAGAAACCAACACTTTCTCATTACTTTATTTTCCAGATCACCAGACTGGACCACAGCAACGCGTGGCAAGGGACAGCTAGTTGTACTATATAATTATATTGTAATATTATTAGTAATATTACATGTAATATAAAATATATAATTATAATATATTATTATTAGTAGTATTATACTGTATTACATTATAATATTATAAATATTATATGTATATACAATATATTATATTATATTATATTATATTATATTATATTATATTATATATTAGCATAGCACAGGAGACAAGGTGGAACTTTCCCCTCCCAACAAAGGATTCCCCCGGCAGCAACCAGCCAGACTCAAAGGCTATACCTTACCAATACCTTTAATGCTATGTAACAAAATATGAAAGATTTTCTGTCACTCGTTTGAAAGTATTATTTACTGTTTAATTGTGCGGTCCTTACTTTGAAAGAAGTTGCTACACTCCAGAAACTTCATTTTTGTGGCACAAACTATGTTAAGTTGGTTGGTTTATCCCTTGCTTGGGTATCAGCCAGCACATCAACGACTTAAATCAAGAAATAGTTTTCTAAGATCTACAGAGACACTCGCTGGAACACCCCAGCAAGCGAGAGTCCAAAAGTGGCAGGCTCAAACCCAGAACCTCAATCAATGGCTGATACCAAATGAGAGACTCCCCCTGGGCACACAGAAGACTGGGTGACTTGGAAGGCGCTGAACAGACTGCGCTCTGGCACCACGAGATGCAGAGCCAATCGAGAAATGGGGCTACAAAGTGGAATCCACGACATGCGAGTGCGGAGAAGAGCAAACCACTGACCACCTGCTGCAATGCAACCTGAGCCCTGCCACATGCACAATGGAGGACCTTCTTAAAGTAACACCAGAAGCACTCAAAGTGGCCAAAGGACATTTAATCAACTACCAAGCCTGCAAACTTTGTGTTTTGTTTGTTTGTTTGTTAAAAAATGCAACACAACTGTTTGGTTTGCACCTGACACGATAAATAAATAGTTGGTTGAGACACTGTGAGATATTCATTGAAAAACTATAGCAAAATGTGCTGCAGGATGACGTCCCTCCCTTATTTTCCCATATTTTTATGATAGAGCCAATTAAGAAATGACATTTATAACCCAGGAACAAAAATGGTGTCACATAATCTAATAGACGGCAAAGCTTTGCTGATGGTTGGAGCCTGGAGTGTTGTCTGTGTCGGTGGATGGTGAGGTGTCTCAAGACCTTTTTTTCCTCCTTGCCTTTCAGGAGACTCTCCGAGAAGGCAGGGATCGACGAGGTTATGGCGGCCGCGGTCCTGACAAGCTTGTCCACCAGCCCGGTTGTGCTCAACAACACAGGTACGGCAAAGACTACAGAACCATAGCACTGATGTTATAGCACTGATGGGTAGTTTTCCTTGCCTTGAAATCTTACCTATCTTCAGCTAGTCGATGGCTGTTAAGTCTTGATTAATTAGTAGCCATTTGGGCATGACAGGGTGACCAAGCAAGGAATCCTACCTGTCAACAACTAGATAGCAGTTGATGAGACTTGGTTGACAATGTAGTGGCCATTCAAAACGTGGTAAAAATGCCTCCACGCCTCTTAGGATATGGTGCATTTTGGAGCTATTTAGGTGGGAGTTTGCTATTGGGGGCACTTCTCCCTAATTGCAGACAGTTGTGTATACTTACTTATATAATCAGGAGGGGAGCAGAAGACAGTTCCATCTTGTCTTTACTAATAACTTAGGTTTGGGTTGTTGTAGGTTTTTCCGGGCTATATGGCCATGTTCTAGAGGCATTTCTCCTGACGTTTCGCCTGCATCTATGGCAAGCTCCCTCAGAGGTAGTGAGTACCTCTGAGGATGCTTGCCATAGATGCAGGCGAAACGTCAGGAGAGAATGCCTCTAGAACATGGCCATATAGCTGGAAAAAACCTACAACAACCCAGTGATTCCAGCCATGAAAGCTCAACTATTTATTTATTTATCGTGTCAGGAGCAACCAGACATTTGTATTACATTTTTAACAAACAAACAAACAAACAGACAAAACACAAAGTTTGCAAGCTTGGTAGTTGATTAAATGTCCTTTGACCAGTATCTGGCCACTTGGAGTGCCTCTGGTGTTGCCGCAAGGAGGTCCTCCATTGTGCATGTGGCGGGGCTCAGGTTGCATTGCAGCAGGTGGTCAGTGGTTTGCTCTTCTCCACACTCGCATGTCGTGGATTCCACTTTGTGGCCCCATTTCTTAAGGTTGGCTCTGCATCTCGTGGTGCCAGAGCGCAGTCTGTTCAGCGCCTTCCAAGTCGCCCAGTTTTCTGTGTGCCCAGGGGGAGTCTCTCATTTGATATCAGCCATTGGTTGAGGTTCTGGGTTTGAGCCTGCCACTTTTGGACTCTCGCTTGCTGGGGTGTTCCAGCGAGTGTCTCTGTAGATCTAAGAAAACTATGTCTTGATTTAAGTCGTTGACGTGCTGGCTGATACCCAAACAGAGGATGAGCTGGAGATGTCTCTGCCTTGGTCCTTTCACTATTGGCTCCTACTTCCCGGTGGATGGTCAGATGGTGCAATACCGGCTAAGCAGTGTAACTTCTCCAGTGGTGTAGGGCGCAGACACCCCGTGATAATGCGGCATGTCTCATTAAGAGCCACATCTGTTGTTTTAGCATGGTGAGATGTGTTCCACACTGGGCATGCATACTCAGCAGCAGAGTAGCATAGCGCAAGGGCAGATGTCTTCACTGTGTCTGGTTGTGATCCCCAGGTTGTGCTAGTCAGCTTTCATATGATATTATTTTCAGTACTCACTTTGCTGAGGTGTCCCAGCTTCTTGTAGGTCAGAGCACGGTCCAGAGTGACTCCCAGGTATTTGGGTGTGCTGCAATGCTCCAGTGGGATTCCTTCCCAGGTGATCCTCAGAGCTCGGGATGCTTCTCTGTTCTTGAGATGAAAGGCACATGTCTGTGTTTTAGATGGATTAGGGATCAGCTGGTTTTCCCTGTAATAGGCAGTAAGGGCACCTAGAGCTTCGGAGAGCTTCTGTTCAACCATCTCAAAGCTCCCTACTTTCAAACCAGGAACAGATTTGTTTTCTGTACAATACATCACCCTTTCGGGAGATGGTGGCGGGATATAAATAAAGATTATTATTATTATTATTATTATTATTATTATTATTATTTTCTAATTTTGTTACATAGTGTTATGTAAAATACATATATTAAAATGTATTTCTATGAAATACATATATTAGAATACACAGAACAAAGATTAGAGTACAGTAAACACACAAGACATGAGCTGAAAATTCATAGTTGCAAATGGACTGAGCCTTGTATGTTTTTCTCTCCCTCGGCAGAGATCCGCTGTGACGCCTGGAAGGAAGGGCCGGCCATGTCCTCCAGCTACAGCAGCGGCAGCAACGCCAGCGGCGAGTGGAGCTGGGACCCCCCCAGTGACCTCTCCACCCCTTCCACCCCCTCGCCGCCCCTCTCCACGGACATCACCACCAGCTTCCTCTCCTCTCTCCAGGCCGACCTCGAGGAGACCGAAGCGAGCCACTTCCTCTTTGGGGACCCCATCCCCAGGAAGCGGAAGGTGAGTGAGTGAGTGAGAGAGGGAGAGTTGGGAGTCAGGTTGGTTGTAGACATCGATGGTAACATAGAGTGGGAAGCGATTGCAAGGGCCGTCTTAGTCTGAAACACAAACACTTACTTAAAGACTTCCAGAGATGGACAGTCCACCATCCTCCAAGGCCGCTAATTATCCATTGTCGAGCGGTTGTTACTGTCAAGAAGTCCTTCCTAATGTTTTGATGCAATCTTTTTTCATGTGCTGGCTGTGCCCGAGTTACAAACATCCGACTTACAAATGATGGATAGTTAAGAAATGAAGTTCAACAGGGACAAATGCAAGATACTCCACTTAGGCAGAAAAAACGAAATGCAAAGATACAGAATGGGGGACAATGCCTGGCTCAAGAGCAGTATGTGTGAAAAAGATCTTGGAGTCCTCGTGGACAACAAGTTAAACATGAGCCAACAATGTGATGCAGCAGCAAAAAAGCCAATGGGATTTTGGCCTGCATCAATAGGAGCATAGTGTCTAGATCTAATTGAGGCATCCGTAGGTTAAATGTTTTTGAATATTTACATAAAACTGTAATTTAAGTTAAGATTGTCCAACTCTGATTAAACCATTATTCTAACCTTCTTCAATGTAAATGTGCTTATGTATCCTTCCAATAATAGTAGAGTGAAATAATAAATGTAATAATAAATAAAGAAAGAAAAATTCTAAATGTAATAATAATATTAATAGAGTAAAACAATAAATGTAATAACAATAATAAAGGAAAATAATAAATGTAATAATAACAATAAATAGAGTAAAACAATAAATGTAATAATAACAACAATAATAGAAGATAATAAATGTAATAATAATAATAATAATAGAGTAAAATGATAAAGGTAATAATAACAATAAATAGAGTAAAACAAATGTAATAATAACAATAAATAGAGTAAAACAATGAATGTAATAATAATAACAACAATAAAGGAAGGTAATAAATGTAATAATAATAATAATAAAGGAAAAATAATAAATGTAATAATAACAACAGAGTAAAACAATAAATGTAATAATAACAACAACAATAAAAGAAGATAATAAATGTAATAATAATAATAATAATAGAGTAAAATGGTAAATGTAATAATAACAATAAATAGAGTAAAACAAATGTAATAATAACAACAATAATAAAGAAAAATAATAAATGTAATAATAACAGTAAATAGAGTAAAACAATAAATGTAATAATAACAACAACAATAAAGGAAGATAATAAATGTAATAATAATAATAATAGGGTAAAATGATAAATGTAATAATAACAATAGAGTAAAACAAATGTAATAATAACAACAATAATAAAGGAATAATAATAAATGTAATAATAACAATAGAGTAAAACAATAAATGCAATAATAACAACAATAATAATAAAGGAAGATAATAAATGTAATAATAATAATAGAGTAAAATGATAAATGTAATAATAACAATAAATAGAAGAAAACATATGTAATAATATGTAATATGTTAATATGTAATAATAACAACAATAATAAAGGAAAAATAATAAATGTAATAATAACAATAAATAGAGTAAAACAATAAATGTAATAATAACAATAATAATAATAAAGGAAGATAATAAATGTAATAATAATAATAATAATAGAGTAAAATGATAAATGTAATAATAACAATAAATAGAGTAAAATAATAAATTTAATAAAAACAGTAATAATAACAGACTAAAATAATAAATAACCTTGACTCAAGTATAAGCAGAGGGGGATTTTTTGAGCCTAAATAAAGGGCTGAAAAACTAGGCTTATACTCGAGTATATACAATATATTCCGCTCTGTATCCCTGAGGGATTCAGAGCGGATTACAGTATATACAAATATAGGCAAACATTCAATGCCTTTTATACACTAACAACAATGACATACAATACAAACAAAGGCAAAGATTTTCCTTTCCATCTCGGGAGTCTGGAGGCGATGCTCAACTCTGGCCATGGGAAGGTGCTCTTGTTCCATTTTTGCATGCTGAGGAGCCTGTTGTCCGTAGATCCTCATGGTTGTGTTTGCCGGCATGGCTGCATTGGTACCTTTTGCTTTCCTGCTGAGGTGATACCTATTGATCTACTCACATTGTATGTTTTCAAACTGCTAGGTTGGCAGAAACTAGGGCTAACAGCAGGATCTCACCCTGACCCGAGGCTTCGAACTGCCAACCTTTTGGTCAGCAAGTTTTTCTGCGTTAGCCCTGTTTGGCAGAGTCTTAGGTAGCCTGGCGACTTAAACAAAATGAAATTAATCCTAATGAAAGTAGTTGTTTTGTGTCTCCTGTTGATGTAAGACCCTCTCTCTGGATTAATGGTTGGCTTTTGAGTCTCGTAAGCCCAACCTCCTGAGATAGAGATTTCTATGACAAAACAGAAGAGTTTGAATGAGACTGTGAGCCTTATAAAGCTGTGCGCTCTCTTTTTCCTGCAACAGAACTCCACCAAAGTGATGTTCAAGTGCTTATGGAAGAACTGTGGGAAGGTGCTGAGCAGCTCGTCTGGAATGCAGAAACATATCAGGACCATCCATTTGGGGTAGGTTGGCCAACACAATGTTGTGGCTAAGATGTTCTCTGATGTTGAGGATGATGGGATTCAGATTCCCGGCTCTTTTTCTGTGCCTCAGATCTCTGGGCCTGCTTCTAGGTCTTTTTCTGAGGCTCCCACAGACAGTGCAGAGTCAACACAGCGGTTCTCAGAAGAAAATAATTTTAACGAAGGAGATAGTGAACAGGTGGGGAGGCCTTTGCCTCCTTCCCACGCTGATACAGAAAGTGCAGAAAGCCTTGATAGTGACCTGACCTGACAGGCTCGTCTTGATTTGTGGAGTTCTCGCCTGGCTTGCAGACGAGAAGCCAGCTCGGGGAAAGGTCATCACAATGCTTTCATGTTGGTGAGAACATAATGTTTTCATGTTAGAAAGGTATTTAGGCTTCTTGCAAACGAAGATAAAGCATCAGTTCAACGTAGTTTGTTAGCTTGGAAGCTTCATGGAATAATCTTAGCTGGAAAGCAGCAAGCTTGGGATTTCTTGCATTGTGATTCTTGGGGCAATTGTTTCACTGTTTGTACCATGGACTCTGTTTTGAACTTTGCCTAAAGGGTTGTGCTTCTTGTTTTTACCTGAAGATCTTTGGAACTATATTCTGCTTTTAACCAAACTCTTTGGAACTTTGCAATGCTTATTCTTTATTTTGACTTGGACTTTTTCCTCAATAAACTATAAAACTACAGCTCTTGTGTGGTGGTGTTTGGAAGCAAGGCGAAGTTTACTCTGAGTTGCAACAGATAAGAGCCTACGAAGGCAGATCCGTTCAATGGGTTGGTTTGGAGGCTGAGGATCTGGAAAGAGAAGTGTGGCCTGCTTTTGGACTCCTTCCTTCTGTCCCTTTCTCTCTTACGAGGGTTGAATGAAAAGTAATGCCTCCACTTTCGTAACTCCTAAACAGATGGCAGTACTGGTATGCAGCAGGTACTGGCTTGTTCAGTAGACTCTCCTCTACAGTTCCATTTTGACAAGAAACCTTAGCATTGAATGGTTGTGTTGTTAAAGTGCAAAGTATGGAACCCTGCGCAGTCGGTCAATGCGACTTAAGCAACGTGCAGTCATTGAATTCTTGACAGCAGAAGGTGTCACCTCAAAGGAGATTCATCAGAGAATGCAAGCTGTTTATGGTGATTGTGTTGATGTGAGTACTGTGCATCGTTGGGCAAGTAAGTTTAAAGATGTTGAGGTGGGAACATCTGACTTGCATGACAAAGAGTTGGACCTCCTGTGACAGCAACCACCAAGTTTCACAAGCAAAAGGTTGACAGGTTGATTCAGGATGGTTGTCGTATCATTCTGAGAGAAATTTCCAGCATAATCGGCATTTCACAAGAACGTGTGGGTCACATTATTGCTTTGCTTAGCTATCAGAAGATCTCTGCACGACGAGTTGCGGAAACAGTGTCAACTTCTTCCATGACAGCTTCAGAAACTTGTTCATCGTTGGCAGAAATGTATCCAATTGTCTGGTGATTATGTGGAAAAGTGAATAGAGGTAGTTAAAGAACACATTCTAAGGATTATCTCTGTGTTTGATTTATTAAAATATTCCCATCCAAACCCAAGTAACGAAAGTGGAGGCATTACTTTTCATTCAACCCTCGTACTTCAGTTTCACACAAAAGTATCTAAAACATTTTAAATATAGTGATGTTCAAGCTATGTATATCAAGTGTATCTGAAAGATAAATCCAAAATTTAGAATGTTCCTGATCCTAAATATTTTGGATAAGGGATACTCGCCCTGAAGGAAGACACCAGCGCTGCTTCTTCCCCTTTGTTTACATCTCTTCCCTCCTTCTCAAGGGGAAGAAACATAAAAGGACCAAAGAACAAGGGAAGAAACGTAAAAGTGATGGCTTATATCTGGCCTTGAACAACGGGACTATCCAGTAGGCTGTTAGGAATCATGGGAGTTGAAGTCCAAAACACCTGGACGGCCCAATTTTGCCCATGCCTGGGAATGAGGATAAAGTTCAGCACCAGAGACAGCTCCTTAAAGGCCCTACAATAGGGTCACCATAAATCAGAGTGGACTGTGCAATGATCTCAGCTAGTTCAGTCTCTCCTGCCAAGCATGGGCTCTTTTTGCTTGTGTACAATTTCTCTGTATCCACTCCTGATAACAACCCTCCCTTTGCTCCCTCCAGGCGCAAAGCCGATCTCGACCAGAGCGACGGGGAAGAGGACTTCTATTACACCGAGCTGGACGTCAACGTGGACTCCCTGACGGACGGCCTCTCCAGCCTGACGCCCGTCTCACCCACCTCCTCTGTGCCACCCGCCTTCCCCATCCTGGAGGAGGGCCCACAGACCCTGCCCATCCCCTTCAAACCAGAGGTCTCCTCGATGCCTCATTTGAGCCAGCTGACACCTGTGACCATGCTGAGCCAGTCAGCGCCCACCAGCCTGTGCCATGTCCAGAGCGACCATGCGTACCAGGTGAGTTCCCAAAGCAGGGACATTCCTGTTGAGCAACTTGGCTTATTAACAAATTTATTTTATATATTTATTTGGGGTGCTTCTACCCTGCCCTTCTCAACCCCCTATGGGGGACTCAGGGTGGCTTACAAAAGGCACAATTCGATGCCCAACAATTTACAAATTACAATATACAAATTACAATATAACGTTAACAGTTATAACTAGTTAAAACAATCAAAACAATACAATAGCAGCAATAAAATCTTGTGGTCAATGTTCGTCAATTCATAAATCCATAATCCATCCAGCATTGTCATTGTCCTTTCCTACTCTGGTCGTCATTGTCTTTTGTCCATCTGCTGGCTTACCCGAATGCCTGGTCCCACATCCAGGTTTTTAATGTCCTTCTGAAAGATGTTGATGACCTGATTTCCCCGGGAAGTGCATTCCACAGGCGAGGGGCCACTACCGAGAAGGCCCTGTCCCTCGTCCCCACCAGTCTCACTTGTGATAAAGGTGGGGCCGAGAGCAGGGCCTCCTCAGAAGATCTTAAACTCCGAGGTGGGATGTAGAAGGAGATACGTTTGGACAGGTATGCTGGGCCAGAGCCGTAAAGGATTTTGTAGGTCAAAACCAGCACTTTGAATTGTGCTCGAAACTGGATCGGCAGCCAGTGGAGCTGACACAGCAGGGGGGTGGTATGCTCCTTGTATGACGCTCCGGTGAGTAATCTAGCCGCCGCCCGTTGGATTAATTGAAGTTTCCGAACAGTCTTCAAAGGCAACCCCACGTAGAGCGCGTTGCAGTAATCTATTCGGGATGTAACAAGAGCGTGGACCACCGTGGCCAGATAACGAATGTATAGCAGAGTAAAAGCTATAAAATCCTGCATACCTGTCTAAACGTATCTCCTTCTACGTCCCACCTTGGAATTTAAGATCTTCTGGGGAGGCCTTGCTCTCGACCCCACCTTTGTCTCAAACAGGCTTGGCAGGGAAGAGGGACAGGGCCTTCTCGGTGGTGGCCCCTTGCCTGTGGAATTCACTCCCCAGGGAAATTAGGTTATCGTCCTCCCTTTTAGAAAGAAGGTAAAAACGTGGATGTGGGACCAGGCCTTTGGGTAATTAGGCGGAAATGACAATGTTGACAATGGCTTGGAAATGGATTATGGATAAGTTAAATGGAGTACTCCATCACGGAATTCAGCTAGATAATGGCCACCAGACTGGTAATAGTTCAATAGATTGTAAGGATATTGTTTTAATGTTTTAACTATTATAATTATTGGTGTTTTGTATTTTATTATGTGGCATCGAATTGTTGAAAAACGAAATGCAAAGATACAGAATGGGTGACGCCTGGCTCGAGAGCAGGACGTGTGAAAAAGATCTTGGAGTCCTCGTGGACAACAAGTTAAACATGAGCCAACAATGTGATGTGGCGGCAAAAAAAGCCAATGGGATTTTGGCCTGCATCAATCGGAGCATAGTGTCTAGATCCAGGGAAGTAATGTTACCCCTCTATTCTGCTTTGGTTAGACCACACCTGGAATATTGTGTCCAATTCTGGGCACCACAATTCAAGAGAGATATTGACAAGCTGGAATGTGTCCAGAGGAGGGCGACTAAAATGATCAAGGGTCTGGAGAACAAGCCCTATGAGGAGCGGCTTAAGGAGCTGGGCATGTTTAGCCTGAAGAAGAGAAGGCTAAGAGGAGATATGATAGCCATGTATAAATATGTGAGAGGAAGCCACAGGGAGGAGGGAGCAAGCTTGTTTTCTGCTTCCCTGGAGACTAGGACGCGGAACAATGGCTTCAAACTACAAGAGAGGAGATTCCATCTGAACATGAGGAAGAACTTCCTGACTGTGAGAGCCGTTCAGCAGTGGAACTCTCTGCCCCGGAGTGTGGTGGAGGCTCCTTCTTGGGAAGCTTTTAAGCAGAGGCTGGATGGCCATCTGTCAGGGGTGATTTGAATGCAATATTCCTGCTTCCTGGCAGGGGGTTGGACTGGATGGCCCATGAGGTCTCTTCCAACTCTTTGATTCTATGATTCTATGGACCAGCCCACGCCAGAGCTCCCTGTCGGCCGTCACTACCCCCAGCTCCTTCAAGGTCAAGCCAGTCATTTCAAGGATGCCATCTTGAAGGATGCCGTTCTTAAACTACACTAAATGAGACTTTCTTTCCCTTCCAGGCTATGGGTCCTTCTGGGACGCTTGTGGATATGAAAGCCCCGTCCCCTGGCATGGAAATCAGCATATCGTGGCAGCCACCAACCTTTTTCCCACCCCCTTTGCCTCCCGTCCTGTTTAAAAACCCCTCGGTAAGTCATGGCAGAACTCTTCCTCTTCATCAGACGATGGTTTCTCCGCTGTTGAGAGCCATCACTGTATTTTCAATGGGTGGAATTTCCTTGTCGGATTGCAACTTTAGCCAGTGATGGGAGAGAGGCAGGCATGGAAGATTCCACATCTGTAGGACTTCATTATTTTTCACCCTCATGCTTTAAAATCTAGCACCCCCTGATTTACACCCCTCACTTATTTTAGAGAGGAATCTCTAGATCCTCTCACACAGTGTTTCTCAACCTTCCTAATGCCTCGATCCCTTAATAAAGTTCCTCCTGTTATGGTGACCCCCAGCCATAATATTATTTTCATTGTTACTTCATAACTGTAATTTTGCTAATCATATGAATTGTAATGTAAATATCTGAGATGCAGGATGTATTTTCATTCACTGGACCAAATTTGGCACAAATACCCGATAACACCAATTTTGAATACTGGTGTGGTTTGGGGGATTGATTTTGTCATTTGGGAGTTGTAGTTGCTGGGATTTATAGTTAGCCTACAATCCAAGAGCATTCTGAACTCCAACAATGATGGAATTGAACCAAACTTGGCACACAGAATCCATAATAATAATAATAATAATAATAATAATAATAATAATAATAATAATCTTTATTTGTACCCCGCCATCATCTCCCCGATGGGGACTCGGTGCGGCTTACATGAGGCCAAGCCCAAAACAACAATTACATAAAATAAAACCAAAAACGCAAATAACGGAACAATAATAACGCAATTACATAAAACAAATGACAACGTAGCAATATAAGATTACAATAAGCACAATCACAATAACGTTTGGGCAAGTTACATGTAATGGATAAAAGAAAAACTGGTTAAAAACAGATTAAAAACTCCCATGACCAACAGAAAATACTGAGTTTGGTGGACATTGACCTTTTGGAGTTGTAGTTCACCTACATCCAGAGAGCACTGTGGACTCAAACCAATGATGGATTTGGACCAAACTTAGCACAGATACTCAATCAAAGAGCATTCTGAACTCCACCAATGATGGAATTGAACCAAACATGGCATACAGGACTCCCATGACCAACAGAAAACACTAGAAGGGTTTGGTGGGCATTGACCTTGAGTTTGGGAGTTGTAGTTCACCTACATCCAGAGAGCACTGTGGACTCAAACAATGATGGATCTGGACCAAACTTGGCACAAATATCCCATATGCCCAAATATGAACACAGATGGAGTTTGGGGAAAATAGACCTTGACATTTGGGAGTTGTAGTTGCTGGGATTTATAGTTCACTTACAATCAAAGAGCATTCTGAACCCACCAGTGATAGAATTGAGCCAAACTCCCCAGACCAACAGAAAATACTGATTTCAAAGATTCATGGCTGGAATCACTAGGTTCTTGTGGGTTTTTTCGGGCTATAGGCCATGTTCTAGAGGCATTTTCTCCTGACGTTTCGCCTGCATCTATGGCAAGCATCCTCAGAGGTAGTGAGGTCTGTTGGAATTAGGAAAGTGGGTTTATATATCTGTGGAATGACTGGGGTGGGGCAAAGAGCTCTTCTCTGCTGGAGTTAGGTGTGAATGTTAGCTGATCACCATTAGCATTTGAAGGCTTGTCTGAGCCTGGGAAAATCTGTTGCTGGGAGGTGTTAATCTGTGCCAATGCATACTCCACCTCAGACATCAGAAGAGCTGCAAGACCAAGAACAAGCCACGAGAGTAAAGATGAAGATCCACCCAGAGGAAAAGTGTTCCTGCCATACATCAAGGGAACCACTGATCGCATAGGGAAGCTGATGAGGAAACACAACATACAAACAATCTACAAACCCACCAAGAAAATCCAACAAATGCTACGTTCAGCAAAGGACAAGAGGGATCCTCTCACCTCTGCAGGAGTCTACCGTGTACCATGCAGCTGTGGACAAGTCTACATAGGGACCACCAAACGCAGCATTGCCCAGACACGAAACAAGGAACATGAAAGGCACTGCAGACTACTTCAACCAGAGAAGTCAGCCATAGCAGAGCACCTGATGAACCAGCCTGGACACAGCATATTATTTGAGAACACAGAAATGCTGGACCACACCAACAACCACCATGTCAGACTAAACAGAGAAGCCATTGAAATCCACAAGCATGTGGACAATTTCAACAGAAAGGAAGAGACCATGAAAATGAACAAAATCTGGCTACCAGTATTAAAAAACTCTAAAATTATAACAGCTAAACAACAGAGAGGAAAAAACCAGGCACAGATTAACACCTCCCAGCAACAGATTTTTCCCAGACTCAGGCAGGCCTTCAAATGCTAATGAAGGTGATCAGCTAAACATTCACACCTAACTGCAGCAGGGAAGAGCTCCTTGCCCCACCCCAGCCATTCCACAGATATATAAACCCATTTTTCCTACTTCCAACAGACCTCACTACCTCTGAGGATGCTTGCCATAGATGCAGGCGAAACGTCAGGAGAAATGCCTCTAGAACATGGCTCTATAGCCCGAAAAAACCCACAAGAACCTAGAAAATACTGTGTTTTCTGATGATCTTTGGTGACCCCTCTGACAACCCACAGAAGTCCCAGGTTGAGAAACACTGCTCTTGAGGTCAAAAATTGGCCATAGAATTGCACTCAAGAGCTTAGAGATGCACAGAGATGTGTTCTCTCAGGTTTATAGGAATCTCGTGTCAGTATGTGTTTTTATATGATATGAATATTGCTTATAGTTTAAACTGTGGTTTCAGTAATGTATGAGTTAATATATACTGCCTTGAGTCGCCTGAGGGCTGAGAAGGGCAGTAAACAAATACAGTAAATAAATAAATAAAATATAGAGTTGTGAAGCATTGCTAGAGTGTATCGTTCAGAGGTTCCTGTGTAGAACGGAAATGAAGGACTGATAAGATTGGAATGCGCTTCTTGCAGTGTGTCGAGATGTGAGAGGGCATGATAGAAAGGAGTTCTCTTATGTATATATTATGTAAATACCAATAAACATAAGTACCGCTTTCCGGTGAAAGCTGAATTGGAAGGGTCCGCTGTGTTTTACCACCTCGTGCCTTCAGGCAGAAGCTTGAACGGTCGAAGCAGATTGAGATAAAGAAGGTAATTTATCTCAATTCACCAATATCTCGGTGGGGCCTGGCGCTCTTAAAGCTGCACAAAATGTGGAGGACCTGCTGTACTGTATGTATTTTAATTTAAGTCTCAGATTTCTGGGTATAAAAAGAATTATAAGGACCAGACAGCCCCAACAGTAAAAGTTGCCATGCCTTTGTACAGAGTCCAACAGAAGTAGATCGCTTTCATCACTGCAGGGCTAGGTATTTTGTAGAGTTGTTGGCAATTTAATTGTCTTTCCAAGACCAGGTCATCCACAGATATTGTAGATTACGGCAGCGATAACTAATAATGATGCAATGCTGCTAAGAACGTACATGATTGTTGCACTCCAGGACAGGAAAAGCCCTCTGACTGTAAACACCACACCGTTGATTGGAAAACAATCTTTTTATTGAAGACAATTTAAAAATCACAAAGTAAAAAAGCACTTTAAAGAAATAGGTAAATCCAATTAGGTAAGAAGATAAGCAGGAGCAAAAGTAGTCCAGGATGAAGTTCAGCAAAGTCCATGAAAACAAAGTCCACACTTCTCTAATATAATTCAGAAAACCAGGAAACATTAATCCAAGGCAGGAGTAGACATTCATACAATCCAATAATCCAAACCATGAAACAAGAAATACTTAGACAAGAATCTTCCCAGCAAGGCTTCCATGAACAAAGACGAGAACTACACTTGATTCCAAACGTTGCTTCATCTGACTATATTTCCCATACTTGTAACTTTTATCCCCTCGTTATCTATTCCAAGCACTCAGAAATTGATTTCACTTTAATTGAGATTTCCTTATCTTTTTCTGTTGAATCCTGGCAGACCACCGAAGCCACTCTTCGGTCTGTCTGTTTTGACTAATCTCCTGCCTCCTATCTATTTGCTCATTAAGTTTTGCAGCTGGGCCAAGTGCCCAGTTGTTTTCAAGCCCTAAATCCTGAGAACTCTCTGGTAGCAGTTCAGGAGCACACCATCATCCCCACACCCTTCAGGGACATTCTCATGGGAAACTACACTTTGCACAGTGGTCTCCTGGTCCTTCTCTGTATCAATATCATTGACCAAACCATTGCCATCTTGAAATTCATTGGCATCACTTCCCACATCCAAAACACCCTGATCCTGAAACACAATCACAGGCTGAACTCCAACAATGATCCACTAAGCCAGCTACTGTCTGCAGCTAATCTTAGAAAGGGTGGTGACCCATGTACATGGGCCTTGAAAGCTGTGGTGCTATTGCAATGCTGTTGCTGCTTTTTCTACTCCGTCCCCACTGTTGCCAGGCTGTGCTTATAGTTTCATAGGCTTAAATAGTTGAGACTTCTCTCTATGCCTTTCGTTTGTTGTCCTTTTCCCGCAGGGCTGCTTAACTCCCATCCGGCCTGCTGACCTGGGAGAGAAGCGTCCACAAGTCCCTCCCGTGCCCATTGCCAAAGGACACCCCCTTGTGCCCTCTTGCATGCCAAAGCCAGCCACGGGCACACGGTAAGTTCTTATACATGGCTATCCGTTCTGCTCTCAACCTTCTATTCGGTAGATTAAACATACCCAGCTCCTTAAGACAGAGAAATGGGATTATAGATAAATGATGTGTTAGTTCTTTATTATTGTAAATGAACCTTTTGTGATTTTTTAAAGATTGGACTCTGCATGTTTGCCTCCTAAGCTCTGAATTCTTTACAGCCACAACCTTTGCATGCTGTGAGCTGATAATCAACTTTTTATATCCTGTTCGAATTTTTGGATTCTCTGCTTTATTTTAGGGTGGTTTTCCCTAACATAAATGTCACGTTGCCAGGGCTCTGCCTTATTTAGGTAGAGATGAATCAAACTCCCAGTTTTATCCAACAGTTTAATTAAAACAGCACTTACTTGCTGGCTGTTTTTATAGTCCAAAATATAAAACACAAAGATAGCACGCAGCTACAGAATAAACAAAAACTGATAGCAAAAATAACTTCGTAGTCAAAAGGGTCCAGTCCAATGGTCAAATGCCGAGAGTTCAACAAACAAAGTCCAGGGATCCAGAGTCTATACCGTAGTCAAAAGCCAGTCCAAAGGTTCAAGGTACTGTATGCTATTTTAATATACTTGTAGTTAAAATAAAAAAGATGATAAAGCCACACGCAATATAATGGAGTAGGTCTGAATTAATACATTAGCACATCATGACCAAAATAAGAGCCAATCTGTAGCTGCCAGGAAGGGGTCCAAATACAAATATTGTTTCTGAATCTTTCGAATAAGTGACCTTTTCTAAGACTAAAGCAGCACAAGATTTTTTAAAGGGGAGCTTATGGTGTAATAGGAGAAACTACAGCAGAATTGGAGCAAGAGAAGGACAAAAAAGACAAACGTGACAGTAAAGGTAGGGAGAGACTTGGATATGATGTGAATAGGAAGTATATAAGACAGATTGGTTTTCCTCTGATCTCATATTACTAGAATTTACAGTCACTTAATAGGACAGGTTTGAAGGAGATGAAGAACATAGAAAGCTTCCTTACAACATGTCAGCCCATTGAAGTCTTTTACTCAGTAAAGTTGGCACTCTGTACCTGTGGATTTTGGATCTACTATCCATGGCTTGATAATACAGTGTTCCCTCGCTACTTTGCGGTTCGCTTACAGCGGATTCACTGTTTCACGGTTTTCCCTGTGCAGCCCCTGAGGTGAACCCTGCGCCCCCACATCCATCCTCCTCCTTGCCTCTTCCTCCTCATCTTCCCTCCCTCCCTCCTTGCCTTCCTTCCTCCGCTATAGTGCTAGAGGGGGTTTCTTCTTCTCAGCAGCCCCCTCGGCGGCAGGAGAAGTTCCTGCCAGTGGGGTGGTGTCATGTTACCAAGGCTCTGCCTTATTTAGGTGGAGATAAATCAAACTTCCAGTTTTAACAAACAGTTTAATTTAAACAGCACTTACTTGCTGGCTGTTTTTATAGTACAAAATATAAAACACAAAGATAGCACTCAGCCACAGAATAAACATAAAGATAGCAAAAACAACTCCGTAGTGAAAAGGGTCCAGTCCAGTGGTCAAATGCCAAGAGTTCAGTAAACAAAGTCCAGGGATCAAGAGTCTATACCGTAGTGAAAAGCCAGTCCAAAGGTTCAAGGTTCCAGGATTCCAAGATTACATGAGACAGGTCAGGATACTGAAAAATCCAACAGACCTGGGGGGAAAACCAACAGCATCCACCACCAAAATACAACAGATACTTTTCTCCCAAAGATCAGTCCCAAGATTAGCTCCTTAAATCCAGTAACACCCAGCTGCAACCCATCTCCCGCACACCTCGACCCCTAATTGCTTTCACCCATGAACTCCCACTTACAGATCACCAAACCTTCTAGAAATATTTATTTATTTATTTACAGCTTTTATATTCCACCCTTCTCACCCCGCAGGGGACTCAGGGTGGATTACAGTGTACACATATATGGCAAACATTCAATGCCAATTTTGACATACAACATATACAGACAGACAGAGGCTATTTAACTTTTTTCTGGCCGCCAGGGGAGCTGTCGCTTTCATCGTCCATCTGCGACACTGATGAAGTACTTCCGCATTCCCCGCATGCTTTTGCTGAAGTCTTTATGGCCTCATAAATTAGTTAATTTAGCCTCCCCACACTTTAAGGTGGTACCTTATTTTCCTACTTGACAGATGCAACTGTCTTTCGGGTTGCAAAGGTCGACAACAGGCTACACAATTGGTTGGAAACCCACTCCAACCCGGGCTGGCTTCGAAGTCATGACCTTTTCTGGTCAGAGTGATCTTAATGCAGCTGACACTCAGCCAGCTGCGCCACTCAGCCAGCTGCTCACATTAACCCTTCCATCACTAACCACTATCAACTGCAGACCATATGACAATAAACATGGTTCTGTTCCTCTTTCCAGGAAGCCGCGAGGGGAGGCCAAGAAGTGCCGGAAGGTGTACGGGATGGAGAACCGCAACATGTGGTGCACGGCCTGTCGCTGGAAGAAGGCCTGCCAGCGGTTTGTCGACTGAGTGCCGCCTCATCCATCCGTCCGTCTGCCCCTCTCTTCCGGTCCCGCTCTCGGTCCTCCCGTGTTTTGCACTTCCATGCCTCCAGCCTGTCCGTCCCGCTCCTCTTTCCTGGCAACTCCGCCACCGCCGCTCCCCAGTCCCTCGCACAAAAAGATGGGGAGCGGGTGGGTTTCCCCGTTGTGCCTTGGCTCAGGAAGGAAGGCGTCTGGGGCGCCGACAGCCACGGAGCGGGTAGCTTTGCAGAGACAGAGGCACTGCAGTCCTCGGTGGAGAAGCCGTGCCGGTTTTCCAACATTCGTATATTTTTTAACATCTGGACTCACGGCAGCGCTATCCGCTCCTGCATATGAGAGTTGAGCCTTTTGTCAAAATCAAAATAAGCTATTTCTTTCCCCGTCCCTTCTCCCGTCCTTCCTTCCCAACCCATTTTGGGATCTCACAGCCTTTAAGGTTCCCAAGCGAGGGAGAATTAGCAAATTCCTAAGGGAAGGAAGGATATGGCTGCTGGAGCCAAAAAAGCCACACCAGCCAAAGGCTGCTCCTTTTTATTTCCTAGCCTTGAGTAGTGAGCAAGGGCTATCCAAGAACAATGACTGGTTTTGTCCCGGATTTTTTTTCTTCTCTCTACTTTTAAAGCTTTGGTGTTTTGAGACTCACGACAAACAACGAGGCGTTGGAAAGACAACGTTGCATTACTCTTTTCCTACTTTTCATCCCCAATTTTTGGTGCAACGAGCTTCTCGGAAAAATGGGATTTTCTAGGTTTGTTTTCAATCCGGAGCTGAGATGTCTTGTCCAGGAAACAGAAGTGAATGGATGGATGAATCTACCTGGGAACCTGTTTTGTTTTTCCTTTTCCTTCCTGCTTTGTATCCTCACTTCCTGTCCATTTGTCCTCCTTCCTTTGCCTGGAGAAGCAGGCTCAGCTATAGGAAATCCGTCATATTTTCCGAACGGCCTCTTTGTGAAATGAATGCCTCTGTTTCTGGCAAGGAATAAGCTATTCACTGCAAGGCCTGCCTTGCCTTTTCCGAATTTGCACCCGTAAGTGACGCTGACCACACAAAGGGACACTTCAACATCCAGATGTGCAATCCCGGACTCGGATTTGTGACAAATTAGCTGGCGGGGAAGTCGGAGATGGATCCGTTGCGGAGTTTGTTGTCTCGGCACCGTATCGGCAGTGCCAAAATTCACCCCGCCGCTCGCTCGCTCTAGCTTGAAGTTGTATCTTGGAATCAGGATTTAATTTGTTTTTTCTAAAGAGGAAATTGTATAATCATCTGTCTACATCTCTTTTGAGTTGTCACAGCAGGAAATCTTGCCAAATGTCGGAACGTGGAAGCTTTTGTTTTGGTTTTGTTTTCTTTGCTTTTCTACCTGTCGTAAAATGATGTTGCTTTTTGTGAGGTGGGGGAATTGATTGGTTTGCTGTTTATTTTTGGCTGTTTGTGGGTCGGAAGGACCCAGGATCCAAATGGTGTGCTTTGGGGGGCACTAAAATGCACCAGGAATGGGAATTGCGTGGCTTTCCAGGTATTGACTGCCACTCCCAGCAGCCCGGGCGAGGAAAGCTATGCCTTGTCGAAGGCTTTCATGGCTGGAATCACTGGGTTGTTGTAGCTTTTTTCTGGCTATATGGCCATGTTCTAAAGGCATTTCTCCTGACGTTTCGCCTGCATGTATGGCAAGCATCCTCAGAGGTAGTGAGGTCTGTGAGGATGCCAAGGATGCCTTCCATACATGCAGGCGAAACGTCAGGAGAAAATGCCTTTAGAACAGCGTTTCTCAACCTGGGGGTCGGGACCCCTGGGGGGGTCGCGAGGGGACATCAGAGGGGTCACTGAAGACCATCAGAAAACACAGTATTTTCTGTTGGTCAAGGGGGTTCCGTGTGTCAAGTTTGGCCCAATTCTATTGTTGGTGGAGTTCAGAAAACTCTTTGATTGTACGCGAACTATAAATCTCAGTAATTACAAATCCCAAAGTTCAATGTCTATTTTCCCCAAACTCCACCAGTGTTCACATTTGGGCGTATGGAGTATTCATGCCAAGTTTGGTCCAGATCCACCATTGTTTGAGTCCACAGTGCTCTCTGGATGTAGGGGAACTACAACTCCCAAACTCAAGGTCAATGCCCACCAAACCCTGCCAGTATTTTCTCTTGTTCATGGGAGTTATGTGTGCCATCAGTACTGGAATTTAGGATGCTCTTTAATTGCAGCTGAACTATAAATCCCAGAAACTACAACTCCCAGCAGTATTCAGATTTGGGTGTATCGGGTGCCGATTGATCCAGTGAATGAAAATACACCCTGCATATCAGATATTTACAGTACGATTCATAACGATAGCAAAGTAGCAACGAAAGTAATTTTATGGTTGGGGGTCAGCACCACATGAGAAACTGTATTAAGGGGTCACGGCAATGGAAAGGTTGAGAACCACTGCTTTAGAACATGGCCATATAGCCCGAAAAAACCTCAGCAAGATCTGGAGGACCACATAAATCCCACTCCTGGTATTAACTCCTTGAGTAAGGGCTCGTAGGAGCCCAAAGGCCGTGGCTTTAAACACGAGCCCACCTGAGGCACCAAAGTCCCTTCTTGCACAATCACCTGGGGGCGGGTTTTGCACAAGTGCCCCGGCTGATCTTGTGCGAGAGTATTTTGCAGTGCTGTATTCTGCCCTAAACTCTCTAATTGTGAGTGTGTGTGTGTATGGGGGAAAATTATGTCTAAAATGCTCTAGAATGGAAATTGTGCCTAGGTGTATTGCACATGGGAAGCTTATGAGTATTCTCACCCACTTCCATAAATACTGAGTTAGGCTGAGACATCCATACAGACAGCCCTCCATATTTGCTGGTTTGCATTCATACCAGATTTTTGATTATTTATAGATTGGGTTTAAAAATGTTCTCTCTAGAAATCCCTAAGTCCTCCAGGGTTACTCTGTGGTCAGCTTCCAGCAGATTTTGATGCTCAAATCATGCTGAAGGATCTAAGGGTGCATCTACACTGAGGAATTAATGCAGTTTGACACCACTTTTATTTGTCACGGCTTATAAAACTACAGCTCCCACGGTCCTAGACACCTTTCATTTGCTGCGGCTCAATGCTGTGGAATCCTGGGAGCTGTAGTTTGATGAAACATCAGTACTCTTTGGCAGAAGAGGCTAAAGACCTTGTAAAACTACATCTCCCATTATCCTCAACACCTTTCATTTGCTACAGCTCAATGCTGTGGAAT